AGTATTTCATAGTGAATCTGAACCGAATAATTTTGAAATCTGAGGGAAATAAAAAAATTGACTATTTTTTCATAAAAAATAGGTCATCGAAAAAAAATGAATTTTCTCTTCCTTATTTGCATTACGTTTGTCAAACTAAAGGTTAAAAAGGATGATGAATTCAGTTATATTTTATTTAAATAAAATAATACAATTAAGTAATATAGAAATCAAGAAAAAAAGCTTTAGAATTCATTCAAATTTGAGACATCTCGATAAACGACGTTTTCTTCACTAGACTCATAGAAATATGAAATATGGTTGGATTTTACTTTTATATTTTCTTTTCTTTTGAAAGTTTAATATATAATAGTGAGACGAAGCAAGCAGACAATAATCTATCTCTCCTACTAGTATCATTGTTTTGGCATTTCACTATCGTATGGTAAACATCTGAGAGAAATGAATTAAAAAAGAAAAATCGAGATATATTTCACAATTCTATTAGGGTAATGAAGACAACGTCGTTTTTTCGAATGTCATAAGTTTGAAATAGTTTTAAAGCATTATTCTTAGTTAATATTTTATATTTATTATATTTCTTTATCTAACGAGGGAGGTGCCAGAAGTGATTAACCGCTTTTTGAGTCGACCCTACGTGCATCATGTAGTGCCTATTGAGCTGTGAATCTTCTGAAAAGAGTTCTGGCCCATAGCTTATTCCTTAGAAGATACTGCATTTTTACGATATGTTTTAACAGAATGCCGTGGTCTCGCTCAGAAACATTAGGAAAACTGATTTTTGAATTTCGACTTGAAACTTTGTCCAGATATAGGCCTTAATGAGAATAGTTTATGGTGAAAGTTTCATACCTTTTAATTGTTTCTATCCTGAAATACGGCTATGGTAAAAGACTGTCTTTTATATCGTTCGTACACACAGGCAAATTCGATGTTCGTATTTTAGGATAGAAACAATCAAAAGATCTGAAGCTTTCACCATAAACTATCCTCAATAAGGCTTGTATCTGTAAAAAGTTTCAAGTCAAAATTCGAAAATCAGTTTTGCTGATGTTTCTGAGGAAGATCACAACATTCTGTTAAAAAAATACCGTAAAAATGCAGTATCTTCTAAGCAATAAGTTATGGGTGTGGATGCGGGTGTGGGTGTGGATGCGGGGTCTGGATGTGGATGCGGGGTGTGGATGTGAGTGTGACTATAGATTTCAGCGTTGAGAACACGCTCACTCACATCCGTACATCAACAACCACATCCACACCCACACCCACACCCCACCTCACCCCACTCCCACCCCCACCCACGCCCCACCCCACCCCACCCTACCCACACCCACACCCCACCCCACCCACATCCATACCAACACTTACAACCACACCCACATTCTCACCCACACCCACACCCACACCCACACTCACACCCACACCCACACCCACACTCCCACCCATAGCCACACCAACACTTCCACCCCTACTTCCACACCCACACCTACACCCCACACGCACGGACACCCACAACCACTCACATTCACACTCACACCCACAACCATAACCACACCCACAACCATAACCACACCCACCTACATCCCACACCCACACTTACACCCCACCCACATTCGCCTCCACACCTTCAATTGTACACTTTTTATTTACAATGAGTTGTTCATCCATAAGTTAGAGAGTGACATTCCTTACCCGATATAAATTAGTTAGATGATTTTTACACCAGTTTTATATCAGTGTGAAATTCTTTTGTAATCCTTTGGCTATTTGACATAAGAGAGGGAAATATCTCTTTAGGAAATCATTGTAGAGCTATTCATTGTAATCCAATTTTACAGGTTTCGAGGAGATAACTTTATATGTCCTGTAAGATGTTGAAATCTTTGAACGAGTTATTGATACACAGTCGAATATTGCATTCCTTACACTGGTAGCGTGTTTTGCTTCGTTCCTTCGCACATCCTTCAGTATTGATGTAAACATAGCATCTATTTCGAGGAGACTGGCTGCCTCCATTTGGAGAAATAAAAAATGGAAAATTTCGGACTCAATCATCTGCCAATAAGTGATCTCTTGAAGCCACACTTGCAATGAGTTTTTGAATATGAAGAAAAAGAATAAAAGGTTAAAATAAGTACAACAAACTGATTGTTTCCTATTCACGATCCTTTTCTGAGGCATGGCTCTAGAACAGAGCTGAACCCAGACCAGATATTCGGCTCCAGTTTGGATCAGACCGGACAAGAAGTTAGATCGACTGAATAGGATCGAAGTTTCGCCAGTTGATCATTAGAATATTGTTATTTACTCCTGAGAATTTTCTCTATCGAAAACCACATTTTGATGATATTTTTTAGTCAGAAGAATATATGTGCGAAAGACTCAATGGATATCTTGTCTTCGACTTAACTATAAACGATTAATTGTTTTTCTTCATATCTCTACGGATTTCTTTATTGTATATCGATCAATTTAACTTAGGTCAAATAATTCATTATCTCGTTCTTTTTAGGCAGCCGTCTGAATCAAGAACAAAAAAATCTACATTTCCGTGTTAGATTTGTTATGAACTTTCTTTTTTTCTTCTTTAAAACTCAGATAAAAAAAACAGATTTGATCTGAATAGCTAATTTGTATCGATATCTAGCTCGAAAAGTCGACAGCTCTTGCTATAAAATAGGATGTTGAGAGTTTCATGCCCAAGTTTTCGTTTCCAATTTAGATTTCTATATACGAATATTCAATTATTCTTCGATACCATTCTGTGTGAACAGGTGCTTTCATGATCGGCTATTTTTTTTTCTAGATTTTCGCCAGTTTGGCTATAAAATTTATTCGGTCAGTTGCTAAACAGACTAGACCTGATCGAACGGAATAAAAAAAAAACTGTTCAATACGAACATATTTTAGAACATATCGTTATGAAGTGGTGGTAGCACAAGCTTCAAATGCCTGATGCTTAATTCTATGCAAGTGAATCTAAAACAAATGCACTACGATTGATTGCGTTAGTTTTATACACAGATAAAGTTCATGATGCATATATGAGTCGTTGATAGCCAAAAGGTTAATTAATGATATAGTTCAGCGATATATTCTTGTGATTCTCTCTTTTCTTCGCTGTCAGCTAGTGTGACTTTGTACATTAACTCAATGATATCTTGACATAGTTTTGTTTTACTATTAGTCAAGATTGGCCTGATCTAGTGAGTAAGAGCTCATGAGGCAATGCTTATCTTCTAGAGGATTTCAAATTTAGACGAGCCCAAACAATAGTGAGTATCCCTTAGAGTTCGTAATTGTTCATATTTACGAATTTTTTTTACTAATTTTTGATGTCTTTGCTTTAGTTTCGATAAAACAGAAGAGCTATTTCCTAAACATTTCTAAGTTCAAATATGTGGCATAAAATCCAATCAATAATTGTTTCTTGTATGCATGTTTTTTTCCACTATGATACGTGGCCAGATTTCAGTGTTTTACCGTTCATACATTACTTCTATTACTGTTTCATATATTGGTTTCAGAAGTTCTTTCTCTCGTCGAAAGTAGTTATCAAACCACTTGTGTCAACATAGTTTGGAAGATGAATTGTCGGAGAAGAAAATCCAATAGAAGTGACAGCGACAACAAGAGAGCTTTGAAATAGCATATATTCTCTATATCAGAATCAAAATATCTTCATTACTTGGCGTCGAAGTTTGGTTTGTTTCATCTTCAATTGCTCGCAATACGACTCGTTTAAGGTCCGACAATAAGGAATACTGAAATAAAGAGAAGCAATTATCAGCCATTTCATAAAGATGATATGAAGGCAATTGAAATCATATCGTTCTTTGTTCATCACAAAAGCTAATCGAAGTTTGAAGAAAAAGTTAAATCGATTTCATCAAGAGTTGGATCTATTTGTGGGTCAATACCGAGAAAATCAAAAAGAGCTATAATGTGAATAATACCATGGCTTGTCGATAGAATAGTAAAAATGTGTCGGACAGATTGAAATGAAAGTGATATGATTGCACAACAAAAACATCTTCAAATAGATATGTGGACCGAATATACAACAACAATGCTCATCCTTCATTGATCGAAAAGGATTAGCATTCGAAATCGTAGCATTTAGGTAAAAGGTTCTTTCAATCTAATCTTGTGTTCGAGTCAGATATTGACCTGAGGTAAAAAGAAGCGTCTTTCTCATTGTTATCGAACTGTTTCCATTTCTAGTGATCATATCTTATATTTTCTAAAACTGAAAAAGTGTATGAAATCCACTTTTACGATGCTACAACTTCGTCAAAAATAATCAATACTCTTTTAACCTTGTGAATGTATTCCATTTTTAAGTGAGTGAAGAAATCAGCAATATTTGCGTCGTTGTTCACACGTTTGAATGTTAGTTGGATGTTACTATGTGAAAAATACTTCATACGCAATGTTTTTATTTATTCTCTATCAACTGCAATTCTTCTTCCATTTCACTAATAAAATAGAGAACAAAAGTTTGAGATAATCTTTGTTGCTAGATTTCTCTCTCAAGAGAAACCTACGGACATTCGTCTTTTGTTGATTTCGACAAGTCTTACGATGAATGACGAAGACAGTGGATGTTGATGTCAATCTTCTTTTCATCCATAATTTTAGTAACATCGTCACTCCACACTCACACATATCCACTCATGCCTTACAAGGGGATCCATATCCAGAAACCCTCTAAATGTAAGAAATATTTTTCATTTTATCTAGGATTCTCTTGTTCCATCCAAGACTTGCGAATGAAAAAAACTACTCATTGATAGATGCTTGTGTTACCATGTTATTCAATCAGCAGAATACCGTTCATTTTATTTTGAAATCAAAAATAGTGTTATAAATCATATTGAGAAGACAGCCTGATTATATTATGGAAAGAAGTGAGCAACATCCAATCGCCAGTCTTTGCATTATAAGTCTATAAAAAATTAATTAACAGCCAGAAAAAAGGTGTTATTTAATGACATATCTCATTCTTTTTGTATCTTTTTCCCTCCTAATTGTACAATAAAGCCAAGAACTTCATCTTCAATTTCTTGGTTCATTCGAGCATAATCCGTTCTCTCAAAATACGATTCATCGTCTGGCTCCACTCGTCGTCGATCGTTCCATTGTTCGCAACCATCAAATGGAAAATCATAGCCGTGACGATATTTGGGCCAACTTCGATAATGATTAATACCTTCCACAGGTGAACCCCTCATCATCATCACTGGTTGTTTTGCATTTAGACATTGCGTTGTTGGTGCTATATATCTAGAGTAAAGATGCAATGATTTTTCAGAAAGAGTAGCGTGTTTTTTTCCTTACCTAATTGTTAATCCACATCGCCGACGATCACTTGTATTAGCTTCAGAACCGTGAATTATGTTTGGATGATGGATACTAACATCTATGAGTTGTCAAAAACCAATGCGATCAGTGAGTTATAGAATTTTTGACAAAAGTAACATGTTAGAAGTTTCTTAGGCATGCTTTGAGTAGTTGTGAATATTTATTTAGCTTTTCAAGCTTCAGCTGTTAGAGTCTCTCGCACAAAGTGCTCAGTACCTTCTTCGAATCGTTTATATGATAACTAGCATTTATGAAAAAACACTCATCTTTGACTAGAGTGTGCTCTTTTATATTCTATATGGGAACGATAAATATCATCGTGATTAAAGCATATAACATGCCTGCACTGTTTTCATCGATTTGTGTGTGTTCTTTAACTATTCATACACGATAGAAAACTAGTTTCAGCTACCGCTATTAAAATTGTTGTCAGTAAATAACAATGCTAATCAGATTTATTGGTTTGAAGCCATCGCTTTTTTATGAACTTATGTCTACAGTGATTAGAATACGTACTATAGTTTAGAAATGTGTTTCAGTCAGATCAGTTCAGTTCCAATCACTACACTTGAGGAAGAGTTAATGTATATGATAACTTTCTGCACTTAAACCCCCCTTCATAATAAAAGACCCCCCCGTATTAGAAGACCCCTCCGGAGGAGTCACTTCATAGAAATTTCTTTTTTTCACCAGCAAAAATTTACAAAAGTTCGCTGGACCATAATAGAAGACCCGGGATCTTTTATTGTAAAGGGGGGGGGGGGGGGGTTAATACTAAACCTAACGAATAGAGTGATCTAATGATTTGGTCAATCTATAGCTGTGAAATAGTCAGTTGGGTGTGGGTGTGGGTAAACATATCAAGATCTCACATCCACACCTACATCCACACCCACACCCACATCCACATCCACATCCACACCCACCCTAAAGATCAGAGTACCTTTCACTTATATCTGAAATCGTCCCCCTAACCCCGTTACATTTATTTTCCTTTCGTGAACGAAATATTGTACTCAGGAGCCATGGTTGAATGAGATAATTATGAATTTGATCATTTGAACAGAAACATCACTTACCACCAGGTTTCAAGATAATATCAACGACTTTGTCTTTATCGATATCTTCATCTCGATGAGTATAGCTACCCAGAACATTTTCGACTGTAACATCATCTTTCAATTTGGATAATTCTCCTCGGTGGCTACCACGAATGACTCTGAGGCATCCATTTTCTGTATCACTATCATCGACGGCCAACCACATTGTCAATACATTCATTGGCTTCAGTGGCCAGTAGGAACCTGACAATAGAGAAATCTGTCGATTCGGATAGCCCAACTGCGAAATAAAGTTAGACTCACCATCTTGATGCCAAAGAACTTTCATACCTGTTTTGGCTGGTTTACAAAAGTAATGAGATGAAAATAAAGCAATACCACCATTCGGTTCGATAAAAGGTGAACCGAAGATAGTAGCTAAATCTAATAGACGTGGATCGCTTACCAAGCGCACCCAAAATGGATCATTACGCATGATGGGGTGATGCAAATGTTCGCCTGGTATTGATGGAAATTTCGACTGTAAGAATTCTACATGTTTTTGACATTCTTCTACCAAACGCGCATCAATTACATTTCGAAGTATAACAAATCCATCAGTGTGGTATTGATCGACCAAATGAGAATAAGTATCTGCCATTCGTATTCCAAATTATAATTTATGAATGACGGACAAGACTACAATCGACCGAGTAACTTCTTACGTGGCAATTATATTCTAAAAGCAATATTTTACTTTTATCATAAAGTTGACAACAATATAGAGGTGTGCATCTACTGATATTTATCTTATTCTTTTTATGTCATATTGTGCTCCCATTTATCTTGCCGCAAGTAGCATACAAAGATAAGAGTTGATATCTGAACATGATGCAAGAGTAACTTGTGTTATTGAGTGAAAGCAGCTTCGAGCGATATAGAAATCATTGCAAGGAAGCTTGTAGGAGTAAAAGCAATATAGACAAATATGTGATCTGATAAAAAATTACGACTGACGAGGGAAGGTCCCCAACTGACGGAAACCTTTTTAGCTCTTAATCGGTTCTGGTAGTAGATCTCGATAAGTCTAGGAAAACTACAAAATATCTCGTGCTCACCGCCCTTCCTTCAAAGGATATTGAATCTTCAAGGTCTAAACATAAGGCTTTTTATGTACTTTAGAATTTTGATTTTTCATCGTTAGCAAATGATTTAAGCCATCTGAGGATTTTATTCTATAGATTCTGCTATGAACAAGCTCGCGCATAAGTTTCAACGCGATTCATTTGACATAACAGCAGATATTGAATTTCATTCATATACATGTATTGCACATTTTGATTGAGGTTGTCTTAGTCGGTTTTTGTGTCACTAAATGATCATATAAACACTTCACTTATATAATCTATTATGTGTCTTTTGGCAACCTTTAACCTAGATGATATATGACAATTACTGCATACAGGAAGCTATATAGAATCTTTCACGACATAGTCAGATTTTCGGACAACATTCTTGAATGTTCTCGAGTGTTCCTTCAAACAAGCTATAAAATAGACTCCGTATCTATGTTGAGGTAGTATCACAATAATTATGAAAATGATTAACGTCTTTAATGTAACAAATTTATTATCCGATCGTGTTTCAAATAAGAAGACTAATGAATCAGTGGGCACTCCACTTGAACAACAATTAGTCGAACAGCTTTACACAATGATCTGTAATGTTGTGAACTGTTCTTCTTTCGATATTGAAAACACAACTACTCTTGATCAAGATAAATATGTCGACGACGAACAGGACCATGAGGAAGATGATGCAGATAGTGATGATAATAGCAGCTCTGATAACAGTCAAGATCGAACTTTCGAAGAAAATGAAGAATTTTCCGTACAAATCAACTTGCAGAAATTTTCATTGAAATACATGTTAAAAGTAATGAAGTTCTATGATGAAATTGACACAACGACGGGTCAACGTAAGCATAATTTTTCCAGTGTTTAACATCGTTTCAGAAGAGTTCGCGATTCTTCGTATTTGAGCAGATTTCGGACGTACATCAATCAACATGGAGCAATACGTAATAAACAAGATGAAATTGATCATTTTGTGTTTCACATGTTTGAGGCTGCTCGTGAAAAACTGCTACCAGTACATGATTGTGACATCGTTCGTTGGACATTGCAAAGTGCAAGAGAAAATTCGATTAATGACTTTGTCGCATCACATCATTGGCTGATCAACATCAAACATAAGCATAATATTGTCTCTCGCAAGGTAACGAAACTCATGACTAAGCATTCTGTCGAAAACCTTGAGTTACATGGAAGAAAAAATTACAATGATGACAGTGAAATCTCTCAATGCAGTATCTCATAGCTACACGATTCAGCCAATGATAAATCTGGCCGGACATGTCGTGGGTCTAATTCTTCTCTGTTTAAAAGAGCCGTGTGGCCAGATCAGTGAAAGTAGAATGGATTGAGTTTTTTGTTCCCGAACATTCCTAAAACATTGTTTTGTTTTCATAAAAACTCAAGCTAAAATTTTCCAACCTACAAACGTTATTCTTACATATAGAAAGAGTGACAAATTGAATGCATCGTCAGTTCGATATTGGAGAGTCCATGTATTGATTCCAAATGCTCCAAAGCGCTACCTCCTCTTATCTGATTTGTGGTCAGTACACTGCAACAAAGAAATATACGCAAAAGCTCCTGGTTGCAGGCGTCTCGAAATACCACCGAAAACTACCGATCAGATACAATCATTTGATGTGTACTATAACAGGCAGATGAAGATAATATTTCGTCATGTATACAACAGAGTGATGTTAGATCAACTGTCTATTTCTCTGAGCAAACGCAATAACATTATTCGACTGGTTTCACTAGCACATAATCAAATGTTAGCGCCTGTTTTTCATGGGCTCATTCGATATGCATAGTTTGCATTAGGCTACATTGATGAGCATCCTGAAAATTTCCAAAACGTCCACGATACATGTTTTACAATCAACCAAACATTCGGCCAGCAGCAAAAATGTACTTCTCCTCCATTCATTTGTTGTAGCTGGTGCAAAGCAGCTCTATATTTTGAATATTTCTTCCTTAGCTATCATTTTCATTAAATAAAGAATAAGTATGTGAGTTTTACTTGCAAATAAAAAATGTGTAATACATGTATACGAATGAAATTCAATATCTGCTGTTATGTCAAATGAATCACGTTGAAACTTATGCGCGAGCTTGTTCATAGCAGAATCTATAGAATAAAATCCTCAGATGGCTTAAACCATTTGCTGACGATGAAAAATCAAAATTCTAAAGTACATAAAATGCCTTATTTTTAGACCTTGAAGATTCAATATCCTTTGAAGGAAGGGCGGTGAGTACGAGATATTTTGTAGTTTTCCTAGACTCATCGAGATCTACTACCAGAACCGATTAAGAGCTAAAAAGCTTTTCGTCAGTGGTGGAGCTTCCCTCGTGAGATATAATTGAAGGATGAAGCCTAGAGAATGCATGGATACATAGTTGCACGCCATGGAATCAATGAATCTACTTACACTTTGTGAAACACGATTGTTTGTGAGTACTGAATCATGTAACAAGAATAGCATCCTTGCGTCCCCCTATCTGTTGCCGTTTTCTCCACAGGTTGTAACATTACTGGGAAGTTACCAAAATATAACGTGTTAATAGGACCACTTGACACTTTTCCATGATTGACATCTCGTCCAATCTGAAAATAGAGTTTGAAAAAGGATCAACATAAACATAAATATACTGTGTTTTCTCAAATCGTGTTTTTTGTGAAAAAATGGGTCTTAAGTATTCAAGTACTTAGCGAGACAACTGGGTCTTCGTCCTCTACAGACCATGGCAGACAAATACACACAACGAGAAAGAGTCTCCATCATGAACGGCTTTGGGGGACATATCAATATGCTAGCTTATCTCACTCCCAAGACTACTTTGATCGATGTAGATACGGCTCTCATTTACAAGAACAGCAAATCGATTACATTTCACTTTGGATATAGGTTAGAATAGGTCTCTTCTTCGCCTAATCTAAGCTCACTCACGGCCACATCACACCTCAAAAGTGCAATCAACGAATGAGATAAATATCACTCGATGAAGCACTAAGTTCTGAATCTACACATACGCTTCAAATTAACAGGTATCCATCGTTGGCACAAAAGAGTCTAATAGACTATAATCACTTTTTAAAACTTGAACCGCAATACATATTTAACTCGTGTTTCTTTTCACAAAAAGAATAGAGAACTACTGGTAGTTTTGTATCGACCATTGAACTCGACATTAAGTGAACCACTTTAGTATCAACAGCAATATGTTACTGGTACCAAGAAAGTAGTTTTTTTCTGTATGGTATCATGCATAGAGGAAGAACAAGCTATTTTTTGACGTCATGGCTCAGTTTATGGATTGGATACCATTCAATGCAGAATTGAATTCTGCACCTAATGAAACTGTTTTGAATGGTCGGCAATGCTTTGTGACACTAGATTGAAATCGTTATTGCAGATATCCGATGGTTTGCTTAGTCGAATGTTAGAGTGTTTTGTTGGCGTCTATCGTCTATAGATTGATTATGTGTTGTTCGATCGTAGATAAAATGGTGTGTGTGAGGATGCAAATGTGATATGATGATTTTATTCTATCCCAAATGTTTAGTTTGTTGCAGGTTTTATCCAGGAATTTTGCTGTAATTTATTTTTGGATCTGTTATATAATGTACAATGTAGTTGTGTGCTATTGCGTCTTGAGAATATAGTATATATGGATTTACCAGAATGAAGCTAGATATAGAATTTATTTGAAAAAAATACATATGATATTTTTTGATGATATGTGAAAAGAGTGATGAGCATGGTGAATTAAAATTTGTCTTTCTAACGAAAAATAGACCAAGTCAAATTTATTTGTTTTCCTTAGAAGATCTGTACTTCATTCGGGAGACAATGTTTGATTTTACTTAGAAAATCGTACTACGTTGATTGGCCTTTTCGACGCTTTTTGTAAAGGGGGTACGTGTATCCAAGGTGGCAGATGATCTGTACATATGCTTCCCAGTCGGTACATCCGCCGTTAGAAATAGTAAATGAATATTTCGTAAAGTTAGAAGTTGCGTTTGTCATGACATCTTTTGATTTTTGTATGTCTAGATCTTGTATAAGTTTTTGAAAATTTATTACGTTTTTGGGCTCTACAGTTTTAGCTGTTTTTGAATGAATAAACTTTCAGTAACTAAGGAAATATGTGGATATTCTGCGGATAGTGATAGGCGTTTTATACTTTCTTATCTATTGGTTGATTATGTGTGATGTATGATTGGTCTTGAGTGTGAGTGTCAGTGGGTATTTTTGGTGCAGTTTTTATCTTCACTGACATTGGCATGCACGCCTTTTTTCTAAAGAAAGTTCAACTTATTCTTTGAAAATAAAGAAACATGGCAAATTAATTTGGAATATGCATGTATCATCTGATAATTTATCAATTCTATTGTCAACAATTGAATTCACGATGAAAAGAATAGTTGAACAATCTAAATCTCGTCATTTAGGACTTGGTAAATTTCACACTGTAGCTCTACTAGAAGATTTCAAAAACAACTGAATCTAATTTTAATCAA